TCTTTGTCTCTTTGAGAGAAGGATGCAAAGGCTTTGCAGAGAGATAATCCCTCAGCATCTTTAGATGGAAAAGATGTAGGACTGAGTGCTTTCATTTTGTACTTATTTTCCTTTCATAGACACTATTAGTGTCATCTTCTTTCAATGACTATTAAAAAATATTTTCTATGAACATTCTGTTATCAAAACAACTTAGTTAAATGGAGCTGTTTTCCAGCAAGACAAAATCTTGTTGATATGAATCTCCGGTCCAAGTATCTTCTAAATAGGATCCTTTGGGAGAACGTCATGCATTCATATGGATGTCTCTTTACTTAAGAAACTTGAAGCAGAATTTTGCTGTTTTTTAAAATTTAAGTGAGTACGTTATTAATTAAAGAGATAAATTCAGAGTAAGTCTGTAGTTTGAGTTGTTAAGAATATAGATTATTCTGTATTTTAGTATGTTATTTCCTGCATGTTATTTAGGAGGTGGGGTCAGCCAGTTTCTTGAACGATTGTTTTTTTAATTCTATTTGTTTTTAGAAATAATAGTGCTGCTGAACTCTTGCAAGAAGTGTAGCTATTAACACTGTGAACTTCTGTTTGTTCAGTTACATTGCTCTGTATCATAGTGTCTAAAGTTTGTACTCTGAAAGCATTGAAAGGTAGGGTGGTTTACTTGATGCATTTGTACTTTGTAAAGTGTTTTTTGTTGATATGAAAATATTTGGTTGTGAGAAGGAACTCTTATAAATCTTTGATTTGTTTTATTTGTACCTGTCATAAGGTAGCTAATTCTGTCTTAAGAGCTGGTGTGGTTAAAATTGGCTGTTAAACTTGTATGTAAAGAATCTACAGTAAAACCACTGCATTTGGGAGAGGATTTCTAGATTCAGTCCTTTCCAACATTGACCTTTTTCACTTCTCTGGGTATAATCTACTTTTGTTCAACAAAAGTGTCCCTTTTTTTCTTAACATGTCATTTTTCTAATTTTGGTCACTCCTGAAGAGAAGCTATAATTTCTTTACACTAGCTATTTCCTTGCTGACAATGTCAGGGTTATAATTTCATTGCAAGGTAAAACTGGCTGGGAGGCAAAAGGTTTAGTCAGATTTAAAAAAATCTTGTGTGTGGTTATGCTTCATTTGTCTAAACTCTGAACAAAATGACATAAAATTGCTCTTTTAAAGAGTATGGTGAAACTCATTGAACTTGACATTCACCATACCGAGCACCTGAAGTAACTGCTGTGTCTTTCCATACTGGTGTAGGATATACTGCAATCACTGTGGAGTGGCAAATGTTGAGGTTTTAATGACACCTACTATATATCAATTTTACCTTCATGACTGGTGAGAAAATGAGCAAAAGAAACCTGCCACTTTATAACATTATATATGTGTGTTTCAGATCTAAGCTATACATGGCTGACCTTGAATCGGGATTGCATTACCTGCTCAGGGTAGAGCTTGCTACACACAAGACACTTGAGGGAGCTGAGCTAAAGACCTTCAAGGATTTTGTTACCATCTCTGCCAAGGTATACGCTTCTAGTCTTTGATTATTTTTAAGAATAAAGTGACTCTAACATAAAATTTATTACGTGAGATAAGTCTCAAAATGTCTTTCACAATGTTTAAATATATGCTTCCTCACTAGCTTAAAAAAATAGTTTTGTGGGTTTCTTTAAATGTTATTTTTGAGTTATTGTATGCTGTTCTGACATACTTACAGGGTTGAAATGCATTTTAATTTAATCTTAGAGGGCTTGAAATTAAGTAAAGCTTAAGTAGTCTGCAGCATATTGAACAAACACTGTAAATATAGTCCATTTATCAGATTTTCAGGATAAATAGCTATTGTAACTGAGTGGGATTAAAAAAAAAACTTTGTTTTTCATTCTTGACTTTTGGATTTCATTAACGCATACTTGACACATGGTGTTCTATTTAGAGATATTAGTAACTTCTGTCTAAATTTTGAATATAATTAAGGTATTGAGTTTCAAAATAATTGAGGTATTGAATATAATTGAGTATTTAAAAAAATAAAGATGCTTACATATTACATTTGAGTGAAGGGACAATATATGTAGTATAATGTGATATGACTTTAAAAAAAATGGAAATAATATAACTTTATAATGTCAGCCTACTGAAATGACCAATGTCTCTTTGTATTTACTTACTGAGCAGCTAACACTTTCTTTTATTTTAAAGAAAGTGAATCGATAGCTATTTAAGGGAATGATAAGGCCTATATGAACTATTTCCAAGTGTCTGGATTTATCTGAAAATCACAGACAATTTCTTGCCCCCTCCCCCCCCCCCCCCAGCCATCAGAGGTCAGAAATCTCTAGCTGGCCTCATTTCTTTAAGAAAGTGTAGTGGTAATCTTTCCATCATATTATCCCTAAAACATCCTCTGTTCTTCCTGATGGCTCCTGGCCAGCTGATGTCATTTGCTTCCCTGGCTATTAGTGCGTAAATGGGGAATGCTCTCTTCTAGTTGCATGCTCATCTCCAGAATGCCATTACACAAGTGGGGACTGCTGTCCTTCATCTGCATTTTCTTGTTGTGTAACACTCTCCTCGTAGTTCTCATTCGTGATTCTCAGATGTTTCCGTTAGGAAGCTTTTTATACTATCCTCCTTTTTAACAGCATTTATGGTGATGATAAATCCTAAGTCACAGAGGTCTCTGGTTCCCTACTTGGGAATTTTCATTGTTGTGGAATTAGCTGCTTTTGGCAGTCAGTGCAGAAGTCCATTGTTTTTTAAAATCTCGAAGAGACCGATACCTACCTGAGATACTGTGCAGCTATTGTCTTTTAGATAGTAATGCATGATATTCTGGGGGTCCTACAGGAGTAAATGTAATTATAGTATGCAGTCAGTGGTTCAGAGGTGTGCTGGTTTTTTACAGACTGTTTAAGAGTTGTCTTTGATTGCAAATAATGCACAGGGTCCCATGTGTTAGATATAATACAGACAATTAGCAAAAGGGAGTTCCTGCCCATTAGATTTGCATGGTACCAAGTAAGCGGTCCATGAATTAGAGATATTATCGATAGTTGGACAGCGACTGCAGAATGACTAGTATATGCATAGCATGTTCTGTCATAAATTACTTTCTGTATTTCATGTAGCAGATACAGGGACTTTATTTCCCCATCTGTTGAAATACTGCTCCCTCTGGAAGGGTGCTTAGAGGATGATATGCGTACTTTACTTAATTCTGTAGTAATTATAACTATCATTAAAGCAAAATACCATTTCTAGTGTAAAATAATGGCATTACCACTGATTTGTAGTTCCTCACGCTCGTCTGCCAGACTGTGACTTCTTTACGTTGCAAGTTAAGGAAGTAACTGTTTCCACATCACTTTGGAAATCACTATTACACATATGAAAGGGAAAATGCTCTTCTAGATAACCAACTTCTACATTTACAGAAATCTGAACGAAAGTTTTATAAGAACTACTTTTTGTGATTAAACTTCTAAGAGTGAGAAAGATTTCAGCCTCTCTGATACGCTTAGCTCCAAAAGGAACACAAGACCTATACACTGAAATGAATTACCGTAACGCAAAATTCTATGTAATCTGTCAAAAGTTGTTCTGTAGCATTTCTGCCTGCTGTGGAGTAGCTTCATTTTACTGGTTAACATTTTGTGATTGCAACTTGTTAAATCTTGTAAGCAAAAGTTAGTATGAGATGGCTTTTTACTGAAAGCAGAAGTAGTAATTAATTTGCTCATAACAAAAGAAAATCTGAAACATTTTAAAGACAGGAAAAATACATTTAGGTAAAGATAAGTGTCTTGCTGCTAATGAGATTTGTGCTTTAAAATATGGGTATTTTCTTCTTTTTTTTTTCTTCTTTTTTTTCTTTCCTCAGCTTTTTCCTGGCCGTCAGCCTGTGGTAAAGTTGTTAGAGACCTTGCAAGAGTGGCTGGTGAGCCTTCCATTAGACAAAATCCCTTATGATGCTATCTTAGATCTGGTCAACAACAAAATGCGGGTAAGCCTTTACTAGTTTCCAGCATAAAATACAGCATTAGTAAAGGATAAGATCCTATATAAATCTAAGACATCACTTACTGATGGTCCCTCAGTTATAATGGAGTTATAAGAAGGTTAAAATGAAAATAAAGTGAAATCATTACCAGAAAAAAAAATCCACATGAAGGAATTGAAATGAGAGAATTGAAATACACAATCCTCTGTCAATTTTAGAATGAGCAAGCAATCGCTAACGTATAAATGTTCCCTAATATCAGCTTCAAATGATGCAATATTCCCAGTGGACATTTTTGAGTTGCCTTTGCTTGCTGTGCCTGCTATCAGCAGGATTCTCTTGAAGGTCAGAGTTTAAGTGATGGGAAACTTACCCCCTGAAATGGACATTATTCCTGAAGAGTTTCCCCAAATACTTTTTAATTTCCTGGCACAGTAAAGGCCTTGCTAGGAATCTCATCTTGCTTTGGTAATGCCATCTTTGTACAAAAGTTAATGAGTCTTTCTTCCTGTGAAATGGGAGTGCTATCTGAACTTTGGAAACCTCCTGTGTGTTTTAGGAAGCAGAGAGATAAGTCTCAGAAACTAAAATCTTGCCCTGGATTTTAGGTATAACGAGTAAGTAGTGGTTCTGTTTTAAGACCAAATAATAACAAATTCTACATCTTAGCCTGTTAAGACTTTACCACTGTTAAGTCATGTAAATCTTGCTGAGTAATACGGAATTTTTAATGTGCCCAGGGAAACTAGCTCTTTTAGAGTTTGCAGTAGTGTTTGTGTGTGTGTTGTTCATACTGTGCTTCAAAAAGAAAGCTTTACAAGTTAAGCTACTTAATGTATTCTGTCAGATTAATTAGACATTTATGATGCGCATTTTAGTAGGTTTGACATCAGTGACTGTTGTTGTATATCATCTAATATGTTTGCAAGAGGGATGAGTTTTATAATGGTGCATCAGAGTACCTCAGACTTAAGGACTGTTCTAAGTTTAAAATTTGTTTACCTTAAGCATGAATTCATTAGCAACAAGTGCAGAGAGTGTCATTTACTATTCTTTGTCCTTGGATCACCTCAATTTCAAGGTAGGATCAATTGTGACTGCTGTTATGTTCAGTAGTGCAGTTAGGTCCCAGAGTTGGCTATATCTTAAATACGTTTTGGGTTTTTTTGTTTTGTTTTGTTTTTTCAGATTTCTGGGATATTTCTCACTAAGAAAGTTCAGTGGGTCGGATGTCAGGGCAGCAGACCAGAGCTGAGAGGTTATACCTGTTCCCTTTGGAAGCTGTTTCATACCCTAACTGTTCAAGCTGCGCTGCGACCAAAAGCTTTGATAAATACGGGTAAGCAACAGTTATGTGAGATGCTTGGAGGATGAGACAAATATGTGCAGCAGTTCTGCTATGTGACAGAAAAAGTAACGGATTAGAGCAATTTTTTTTGTGTGTAAATACTCAACTAATACATTGGTGGAGGAGAGTGGCTTTCAGGGCTTAGCTTTCAGGTTTGTACCAGCAGAGGTCAGAGCATAGCTTTGCTGCAGCGGGAAGGCTTTGAAAGAAAGCGTGTCCATTTGTCTTTGCTTAGAAATGTGGTAAATAAAGTATGTGGTCCTAAAGATGTGAGCAATAAAGAAGAAAAAGGAGAGAATTTCAAACAAAGAAATTTTGAACTACCTGAAAAGGGTTGAAGATTGTTCAGGTTACCCGAGGTTGCGCTGCTAATTTAATTTGAGAAGAATGAGATTTAACCGTACAGTTTAGTAGCTATAAAAGATGTACAACCATTAGCCAATCCTTCTGTAATGTTATTTCTTAAATACCGAATGTTATAACTGTTTGGGGTTGGGTTTTTTTTTCAGCTGAATGTACCTAGTGTCTGTAATCTGTGCAGTGATATACTACTTTGCAAGCACTCTGCAAAATTGCTTATTTTTAGACTTGCGGCATCTTGTGAAGCAGAGTGTTAATATTTTGGTGATGATTCCTATTTAAGAAATGTGCTGGATATGTAATCTATTTCCCTCACACAATGGAAACAGAATTACTAATGCTAAAATATTGGCCTTTTTATGTTTTTATTCTTGCCAGGACAGGAGTTACTTTGGTTATAATTCTATTTAGTTTTTGTTTAAAGCCTTTTTAATGTCTTTTCCAAGGCATATAAGAATGCTAGATAGGCTGTTACTAGATCATCAAACTCAGAAGTTTGCAATTTGTCAGTTGCTGATTGTATGTTAAAAAAAGTAATTAAATTTTGATTATTTCAAATTATGGGTACATACATTTGTCCAGCATTACTTGCAGTCACGGTGAAAATCTCTCCAATCTTACTATTGAATGTCCTGCAGAACAGGGATTTTTTTTGGATAGCTAATCATCCTGTTGTTGATTCTTGTTTCTCTCTGTTTTGTCTTATTTTGTTTGTCGTTCCTGGAGCAGTAGGTTGAGTCCCTTTAATTTAGTACTGTGCTCTGCCTGGTGAGTTTGGGTTTTTTGGTACTGGATGATATATTAGCTGTTCAACAAGATCATGCATAAGTTAAATTTCCCCTTTTTTTCCAATTGCCAAAAGTGTTCTAATTAAATATAAAAATGTTCTTAATATTTAACTATACAAAATTGCATCTTAAATTGCTGTCACATTTCAGGCACAAGCTCTAGTCAGTCTGAAGTTAAAAATACATTGTGGAACCTGAAAACTCTTTGGCACACTTAACCATCGATTTAAATCGGGACAGATATGTGATGATCACTTCTTATGGCAAAAGAATTGGGTCAGTCTGAGACTGTCGGATTATGTCTTGGGAGGTTTTCCTCTCCTTATTGCTTGTTTAAATCCCATCTACTAAAAAGCATGATGTACTCCCTAATCCTTCCCACCACAGGTAGGGTTTTATGGTTCTTGTCCACTTTAAAGATTAGGGTTACCCTGAATTGCAGTAGTTTGGGAGGAAAGAGAAAAGGAGGATTACACGATGATACATGGCAGATGTTAATAGAAGATTCATCTCTGGGCTGATAAAAGAAAAACAAACAAAATGAGCCATTTTGCAATTGTTTGTTTTCTTTTTAAAGCAGCTGTATTTTTCTTGGTAATTTCCTCTACTTGCAGAGTCTGGCAGTCAGTGTGAACTTGCTACAGTTTTCTTGATGTAATGTTTTTATTGGTTTATATTTGACACGTTTTAATGTTGAATGGTGTAATTTGAACCTGCAGTGGGATCAGCGTAAGGGAATCCAAAGGAACTCTGAACAGAACTGCTCGCATATGAGGATGTATAAAATCATTGTAGAAATCTAGTGCTGAGCACGCTTAGTTATATGAAATGTTGTTTTAACTAATAGGATCTATTGGCGTGACTAAGACAGGCTTGTGGATTTTATAAAAAAATTATCTGGATTCTTTTTAATCTGTTGCTGAATTTGAAAGACCTCCCCACAAAATGAAATTTCAAGAGCGTAACATTACAGGGAGAACAGATATAATTAAATTTGTTTATGAATCTCTGTTCCTCCATAAAGAGGCTATTTGCTAGTAGTTACTTATGTTGTTTGTGGTTGTTTTTTTCTAAGTATGTATTTTAGTATACATGGTAAAACTGGTTTGCCTGAAATTCGTTTCAACTTTCCAAAATTATTTTTCAGCCTTTCTTTTAATACTGTAATTTAATCTGCTTTAATCTCATCGCTTTTATTTATACATGCCTATTCAATCACAAATATTGAATGTCTGAGTGGAGATTGTGTGCTTTTTATGGTTTCTTTTTGGCTTTAAAGACTTTTTTTGCTGCCATGTCTAAGAATATAATGTTGTTGTTCTAAATAAAGGTGCTTATGACAGTCTTCATGCGTTTCTTACCTACATAACAGATAAGTACTCTGATAGTTTTGAATAGGTTTTATTGAAGATTTTTTTTTTCCAAAAAACAATGCGTGTATGGAGGGCATGTGTGCTACCAAACTGTTTGTTACTCACTACCAGAATAGGACAGTGAGCAAAGCATTGTAACCCTTTGCTACAAAACCTGCATTGTAAATTACTTGTGGTAGAAGTGTTCGACTGCAGGAGTCGGTAATTTGATCAATCTGCATCATAAAATGTGTTTTGTTTGACAAGTGTGTGTTTGTGATAACGTACAGTACATTTGTAAGTACATTTTGACATAATTTACTAGGTCAATTAAGCATGAATCAGAAAATCTGTGAGTCGGAGATGAAACCATTAGGATTTCAATGAATTATATCAGGTTTTCAAGCCACTCACAGATGTAGGGACTACCTGCTGTCACTATAAAGGCCCAGGACGAAGTTCCCAGTCTGCTTGCTTCTGAATAAAATAATGATTATTTTGTATTGTCTTTAGTGTAAAAGTGTGAATGTTACAGAAAGAATAATGTGTTTGTGCTTATTTTAGGAGGAATTCCTGAGTTACTTTTGAAAGTTTAAATGTTACCAAGTAGCTATTATGTGTATGGTTTCAGTGCCTGCCAAAAAAGCCATGGAATGAATAGCTGTAGTGAGAGTCTGGTATTCTGTAATACCTCAGGGTTACGGAGTAAGGAACAGATATCACAGGCACCTTGTGAGATACTGACCAGAGGGTTTTTGACTCGTGGTTTTTCCATAGCAAGGTCACCATAACTTCAGTTCCTGAGCATCAGTGTAGTGGTGAATGCATAATGTAAATACTCATTTAGTTACTGGGCAAGATATTGGAGAAAGTCTCTACTTCCAGAGGAATTGTGTGAAGTATAGACAGCGTGGACTTTGCATGTTTTATCAGAGTATATTTTGAAATTGTTAATGGGCTTCAAAAAAAAAAATTTAATGTCTAATTTTTCATTTGTCTAAGTTTGTTCCTCCCTCAAATTGTAAGATATGCTTTGAAAGGAGAAATTTCACTTTAAAGAACACTTGACCTTTAACTCTTTTTAATGTGTTGTTCAGGGTGACTTTGAAACACAATTCTATAGACTAAATGCGTTAGTGTGTATTGGTTGCATTTTTAATAACACTGTCGCTCACCTAGCATTTTTTGAACCTTCATGTGTTTGAAATAATTTGCTTGTAGTTTTGTTTGATATCCCAGACAACCTTTCAAAACAGTATGTTTTGAAACGTACTGTTTGAGATTACTTTAAACTCTACATTATTTATTGCTAACTAATTAGGTTTTTAAATGTCTTGCCTCAACAACTTAGCAGCAATATTATGTATGTATTTTGTTGGGGAGGGGTGTTTCTTCTAAGAACTGTGTGAAGCTTTTAATCCCTATAATATCCTTGTGACTTAAGGAGGTGTAGGTTCTGTATGATGGCACATGTGCTATGGGTATCTTTAAATTTTAAAAAGAGGCTAGTTTCTTATGTCTAAAGCGAAGGTGTAAATTTGCGTGAAACAAGAAGGTGGCAACATTTCCTTTCCTTTTCTCACGGTTCACTTCTAATTACGTTAAAGTGCCTGTGTTGAAGCTATGTTTGTCCAGGTGGTACTAAATCTATTGTCTGTCTTCCTAGGTCTTGAAGACAATCCCCAAATAGTACTTCAGATCATGCGGAGGTACATTCACCACTTTTTTGGATGCAAGGCTTGTGCTCAGCATTTTGAAGAAATGGCAAAAGAGTCTATGGATTCTGTTAAAACCTTGGACAAGGCAGTTCTCTGGCTCTGGGAGAAACACAACGTAGTGAATAACAGGCTCGCAGGTATGGAAGACCTTGCTTAGGAAAACCCACCAAAGGTAGCCATGTCTGAAAGACAAGGCTATGGCATTTTATACAATATGGTTTATATTTGAACAGAGAGATACATAAATGAGGCTCTGTAACATGAGTTTAAAACAACAGTAACAGTTTGTTCCAGCTTGACATTCCTGTATTAAATATGGACTTCGAAAGACTAACTCCACATTTACACGGGTGTACAAGAAAGGGTATTTGTGTATACAGCAAAACCTAGAGCATCCCAATCAACGGTAGCTCTAAAGACCAGCATGCTAACCTTTGCATGAGTGAGAAATATACGCTTGAGAAACACTATCGTCCAGTAACATAGTTATCTTTTATGATATATAATGAAAAGTAAGTCGTCATTCTCAAAGATACAATTTTTCTGAGATTTCTCCTGTTGCCTGATGAGAGGATCTTTCTGGAGTACAAATCAAAGCCTTTTCAAAAAGGAGCAATACAGTTCAGCTACTTATCAATGGATAAAAAAATAATTCAATTTCTTTCTGTAACAGTTTAAGTAGATGTTAAAACCTATCTTCATTTTGTTCTGGAGAGATGTTGTATAGAAAATGATGATAACTGAACAGGAGACTTCCCTGAGCAAGAGCCTAAACTATTAGCAGATCTGCAACTGAATAAAATTAGTGTATGAAGAAAATCTGTTCTCCCGCTAGATTGCTATGTTTTCAGTTAGACTAAAAGTACCATCAAAATACTGGTTGTACTTAATCCATTCTGTTACAGGGATATCAAGTAACTAAAGCACTAAAGAAAATTGGTTTCTCTTTGCACTAAATCCCTGTCTGCTGTTATGGATCTGTGTAATGTAGCATTAGTTACAATTTAAATATGCTATATTGTGTTTATATTATGGTTATGCTGAATTCCCAAGATGTATGAAGTATTAAATATTGTTGTGAGTATAAACACTTTGTCTCCTTTCTCCAAGGAAAAAAAAGTAAATGATGAGGTATTAAATAAAAACATTCCCTAAGGTTTGTTACTGTTGAACACAGAAAAAGGTAGTCCTGTTGACTTGAAGTTGCTAAGTAGTGGAGCAATATACTTATTTAGAACATCAAGTTATTGGAAAACTCACATGGATATTGATTTAGATGATGCAACAGCCAGCTAAAATACCCTTTTAGTAAGAAGTATAAACATACTGGAATAAATAATAATGTTAAATTATGCTTTTTAAGTTTGCTAAAATTTCTCTTTGGGGCAGTGATATATTTTAATCCTTAAAAGCTGCGTTTGTATTTCTGGTAATATATATAGCTTTCAATGAGAAATGGTGTTTGACTGGTCAATGAAAACACCTTGGCACAGCCTTCAAGTGTGGGTCATGAGATTGCTGTATATGGCTCTGCCCTGTTTAATTCTTTCCTGTTGCTTGAGAATGTACAGAATTTATAGCATTCTTCTTTTTGGCAGAAAAACATAAAGTACAGGAAGTTTTCTGTTTGTAATCTTACCATAACACATTTTCTTTCTACCTTCTCTGCTGAAACAAATTGATTACTGAGTGATCTTTATTTAAGATATCTGAAATGCACACTTGCTTTCTTGTAAATATCAAGGAAACAAATATTCATAAGCATCCTTTGAATCCCTAAACAGTATTTTGCTCAAAATGATGGCGAAGTTTCCTGCCTTTCAAATGGATAAAAATAATAATAAAATAAGAATCTGTATTATTTCTGAAATATTTTAAGCATTAGTGTACTAATAACAATCAGCTACATAAATTAGCTTTTTTACCAGGTAGAGATTTTTGTTCTAAGAATTATCTCCATTCATATTTTAAAATGTTATTTTTTAGAGCAAAGTGCGACACTAGCTACAGTGTTCGGCTCTGCCGTCAAGACAGAAAGGTGGCCAGAGCTATGTGCGACTGAAATGTTAAATTGGATCTAGTTCCAGACAGCGTTACATGTTTAAATGCTAAAAAGCAAGCTGAAAAATACATCTTAAATATGATAATGGTTTTTAAAGTACTGAAAATAGTTTGCTATGGTAATAATGCAAGCTATGAAAAAGCAAGCTTAGGATGGAATGGTTCACAGTATAGAAACATGAAAATACCTGCAAGTCTTTAGCCTTGAAACTGCTTGGTGCAAACCAAGCTTCAGGATTAGAGAGTATTGAGTGCAAAAGAGCAGTTTGTTTTGAACCATGAATCAAGTTAACCCCTGAAAGGCCCAGATGGTCATGTTTTCATGCCTTCTAAAAACATAGCAATTACAGCATCTTGTTGGATTAGAATTTGAATGCTACAGCTTTTACTGATAGAAAATAAAAATAATTACAATTTCATGTTTGTGTTTCGAAAGAGGAAGCAATACTTGGGAACATAATTGATGCATCCGTAAGGAAACTTAAGAATTTGCAAATTTGTCTTCAGTTTAATACAAACATTGTTGTGCTGTGGGCTTTTCTTGCCAACCTCACTATTTATTAGTGGAAAATACTCTCTGTAGTTTCCAGTGAAGTGTTTGGTGGTTCGCCTTTCCTAGTTCATTCACTTCTGATATTTTTTTTTTTTTCCCCCCTCCTCCTAATTAGGTGATTTGACTTAAGATCCAAAATTTCCTAAAGTTCAGTGGCCGACTCCCGACATTTGTCCTGCGTGTCATGAAGAAATTAAAGGATTACACAGCTGGAATGAAGCCCAAGTTCTACAGTTCATGAAGTATCACTATAATAGTGAAAATATTCTATATAAATACACAGTAAGCCAGACTGACTCCAGTGAAACTGAACAGGGAGATACAAGGGAGGTGAAAGACAAAAGCCTACTGAAGCAACCAAGTGGAAACAGAGAAAATAAGATCCAGGATAAAGAAAACATACTAGATTCAGAATCTAAGGTGTTAGATAAGCTACTAGCAAATCATGGACCTGTCAAAGATAGCGGTAAAAGCGCAGTTGTATCAGCTAACCTGAAAGAGACGAAGCAGGCCGTGTCTTTCTTAGGGATTGGATTTTCGAATATAGACATGAGTCTGTGTGTCATACTGTATGTGGCATCATCCTTATTTTTAATGATAATGTACTTTTTTTTCCGAATGAGATCTAAACGGTGGAAAGTGAAGTATTATCGTTCATCTGTATAGAAGTTTAAATTGGAAACAAAGTTTTCATTGTACGTGGCTGTTCAGTACCAGAGACAGCTTTAATATTTATGATCAGGGATTTTGTATACAGTATTCCTTGTTTCAAACCCCTTTCTTCTCAAGTCGTTTCATAACTGTTCTACCTTAATATATGGAGCTCACTGTAAGAACCCTAATCTTTTAACTGAGGCACACAGTGCTATCATAAAATGTCCACTGAAGGAAGCATTGCATTTTTCAGTTAAGATTTTTTCCGTGACTTACCACCTACATGCTTTATGCATTTTCAGAGTAAACATTGCATTATGCAATCCACTGTGCCTGGTTTAGAAGGAAATTGGATATTGTTTTGTGTACTTCAAGTCAGGTTGTTGGGTTCTTCTTTTTTTTTTTTAATTTATCCAGAGCTGATTTTACCTACCAGAGTACTGAACAGTTGTGCTGTTACCTTGGCTGCTTCATTTGGCGAAGCAAGAATTGTGTTTTGGTTTTTTGTTTTGTTTTGTTTTTTTTAAGGAAACCTGAATTCTATTCTGATTAAATCAATTCTAAACCTATGTGACTTTCTGAAATGTTATTTACAGTGCATATTTAAAGAAAGAAAGCATTACATGTTCAAATAAGTCTTCCATTCTCTTGCACGTTCCAGCCAAGGATGTGTATGTCTCTGTTAGGATGAGTGTTTTGGGGCAGTCTGTATCTCAGTAAGCTGCCTGATGCTGATTGCTAATGCTGTCATCCATTTTAACGGAGTTTAGATGTAAGCAAGGACAGGCTGAGACCCAGTGCTTTACTTGCTCCTCTGTTGGATGTGTTAATGGAGCATTAGATAACTCGCCTCACTCATTTATGAACCAGAAAAGTAGCTGAGTAATTATTGTGTTATCCAGGTGGAAGTCAATTCTGATGAACTCTAGTGAAGGGAAACAGTGAAGTTCAGTGAGATTTGCACCAGCATGCCACAACAAATTTACAGATCTGGAAATACTAAGTTTGTTACGATGTTGGATAACTCCATTACAATAGTAATAGTAATTTTGTTCTCGTAAGGTGGGGTATACACTTCCCTTGGTGTTTCCAGTTCTGAGCTCACAGAGAGTTACCACCTGCTAGCTGTAAAGTTATCTGCACTGCACTTAGGAGAGCAGCCCATTTCTCTTGCCCTTCTGCTGGAGTGCCCCTCTGTTGGGGTCAGGAAGGGTTTAACTCATGGTTAGGTCCGAGAGCTGCTCCGTTCCGGGATGTGGCAACAACCGGGAATATGGCAATTGCCTGTACAGGTCTGGCTGGCAGCAATTGGAAGAAACCATGAAACAGTTATAAAATTACCGTTCAGAATAGGAGTTCCTCTCTGATCCTAGCTGTGGGAGATAATTCACGTCCTGGATAGTGAAGTTTATAATCCTATCCAATGTAATTGAGCATGTTCTAGTTATCCATTACCTAATCTTTAGTTAATCCTAATAGGTTTTGGCCTCAATGTTTTCTTGTGGCAGTGAGTTCTACACATTAATTATGTTATATAAAAAGGCTTTTCCTTTCAATTCTGTATTTGCAACTTTTAATTTAATTGAATGTTTGCTAGCTCTTCTGTGACACGAGAAGGAATAAATAGTCCCTGGCCAATTCATTGTATTTATACTGTTAGCGTGTCCTCCTCTAATTTCCATCATAAGCCCTAGCCTAAAAAGTTCAAAGTTTAGCAAGAAGAATGGTCTAAAAGCACAAAAAACTTAACAGGGATATTTTTTCATAATTAAATCTTGTTTGTTCACAAAACGGAACATTTCTGACACCAGTTTCTCAGCTTCCAATTGGAATAACAAAATTGAGCTTCAAAGATTGACTGTCCCTTGTTCCTTGATGCTATCAAAATAACATACACATAAAGTAATAAGCTTCTGTGGTTATTGTAAATGTGTCGGAGGAGAAAAAAAATCTCCATTCCTGTGACACTGTTAGTCTGATGTACATAAAGAGGTGCATTATCTGCGGCTGTTCTTAAGCCGTCTTCACTTTATTGTACGCACCCAATGGCTCTTGCTCCGATGTGAGAAACTTGACTTCAGGGTGTCTCCTCTGCGGAGCCGAGAGCTGCTGGGAGCACCTGTGGGCAACCGTGGCTGCCTACGGTCTAACACAAAAACTTCTCTCTCTAATTTTGACATTAAGTCTGCGACATTCAGTCAGTCTGCGCTTTTTAAGGACCCTCACTGTTTGAGAGTTCTGGCACAAGGAGCAATTGTGGGTCCCGTTTCTCTTGGAATTTGTAAGGGTCCCTATAATTATCTTTACAGCGTCTGGGCATGAATATTGAAACAACTTGTAAGCAACTAGAAAGATTGTGAAGCAGTGGTGGGAGGTGGTCCAGGCTGGCTCGTCAGTGCCGCTTGCCTGGTGCTGGAATCCAGGGAGAGGTCCCAGGAGGAGGCTCGTCAAGAGGAAAGCCCAGCGTTTCCACATTTAGTTTTGAAAATCAGGTGACTTTTAAGTGACCTAATCTGGGGGGATGTTGTTATCATCCAACAAGCAAGGACATTGACCTTCTCAAAAAGAAAAAAACCCAAACACCAAAACCACAGCATAGCAAGTATCTGGAAAATGCGGCCAGTTTCTGTGGGACTGTTGAATTTCCTCTGTCGGTAGTGTTGCAGACTTTGAAGCTGAAAATCAGTCATTATTGCTGCTGTTAGAACTCTACCAGATACATAGACCTGAGTTTGTTAGCTTTGACTCGTTCTGCTTATTTTCATCTGCATATGACAAGAAAAGGCTTTGACGGTTTGTAGGGCTGATTTCACCATTAAAGCAGCAGCAAATGCGGTTTGGGAATAAGGTGAGGGGGTTTTTTTGCTACACACCGTTAACTTTCACGTTGCTGTGACGCTGCTGGAAACAGGACAAATGAACCGATACTCAAAACTTCCAGTGGTTTTTTTTTTTAGTTTCTTAAGAGTGTAAAAGCGTGAAATTAGGATGTTGATTGTCCGTGTCGGTGCTCGAACTCTGTTGCCAGTCAAGTGGCCAAGGCTGTCACTTTAATGCTAGTAGTGACCTCATCTGGGAAAGTTTTCTTGACTTTGAATTCAGTCGTGTAAATCTTGGTTTCCTTGTTCTTACCTTATATTCTGTCTTTATAATGCCGAATTATATCCTTTTATGTACTCTGACTGTAAAGATCTATTATGTCCGCTGGGGAATGTGTGACGCTGCTTTGCCGTGGTGCATTATCAGTGGGAGAGTTACAAAAAAAGTGTTTCCTGTATAAAAATGGCTTCAAACCATCGTCTCCTCAGTCCTGGAGGTTTCATTTCTGTACTGTGTTGTACCACGGAAGTTTCTGCAATGCCACGTTCACTTGTGGATCGTACCATACCGGTGGCAGTCATTTCCAGGAAAGATTTCTTGGTCCTTTGTAATTCATGGAGCCTTCTTTGCTGGGCAGATGATTTTAAAGAGGAAATATGAAACCTGCATAGAAAATAAAAGGAGTACTCTGGAATGTACCAGGAAAGAAAGAAAAGCTGCAAGTGCTGAAAAAACCTAATGAAGTTACTCCTGAGAACTCGTAATTTTTCATTTCCAGTGGTGTATCCGTCCTGCTGTTCCTGCTCAGAACTGGATGGGAACTACCATCTTAACAAAAGGTCCAAGGTGTGTTGTCTAGGTCTGTGCGTTGCGTACAAGGTGTTGAAAAGGTGTTGTGGTTATACCGTTTCAGTAATATAAATGTTTTATTTATTTTAATTCAGTAGTGTGACATTTTCAAGTCTGTTCTGGTTTTGTTTGGTTTTTTTACTCAGTCCCATAACTCTCTAGGAAGGAAAAGTGACCGTTTTGTACTAAATTGTAAACTAATGTGCTTGTTTAAAATAAATTGCAAACATTTGGGCAAACTGGTGTGCTTTGGCTTTTTACCTGTATTTTCAAGTTCCTTTTAGCTAAACTGTATTGCAAGGGTAGTGTGTGTATGTGTCCATTTCAAACCATATTGATCGTTTTATGTAGGTATTTAATTTTGAAAAGTACCACGAACAGGTAAACCGTTACTCCATTTCTTTCACTTCTCCCATAACTTTACAAAATGTCAATGAATGTTTGCAGGAGTGACAGAAAAAATGTTGGTTTCTGACCAATGATTTGGACATTACCTCTATATATACACACACACACAGATCTTCCTTTCCCTTAACCCTGAATATCTCTTCTCTGGCCAGGACGGGGCTACCCTCCGCTGGGTGCTTCTGGATCGTTCTGCAGCTTCTGCTGGCGTCCGCCGTGCCACTGAGGAGGTGGGACGCGTGACTTGTTAAAAATACTGACTATCTACCTGCAAAAGTACTCCAAGAGATTTCTAGAAATCAGTAAGATTTCTAAACCTGTAGAGAAGGTTCTTTGAAGCTTGGCACTGCAACCCGCTTCTCCAGGGAAACCTGTTTCCTTGCTGGCCTGTGACCTTGCCTGGAAAAGAGCGACGTTCCCCTGGGGAACCTGAATCAGGGGCTCATTGCCTAAATGTCGAGGTGAACGCAGCCATCGTCCCTGCTGGGGCAGGGGCAGACCTGCCCTGTCCTTGCCACCCAAAGTTAATACATCTGCTGCCTCCTTTTAAAGAGGTGCCAAGGGTTGGTCTGGGAACTCGCTGCAGGATCTGATCCTCTGTTGTCGGGGTGGTGGGGACAAGGGCTGTCGGACAAAAACTGGCACAAGTTCCTCAGAAGGAAGGACAGTGCAGCCTCTGGGTCTGTCCGCAGAAACGCTGACAGAAGGGGAGGGGAATATGTTTAAGCCCAGGCTTCTCAGGAGCTGGTAAGCAATCTTCTGAACCAGGGAAGAGAGAGAAAAACACAAATCTATGGGTTTTTTCATGGTGGCAGAACCACAGCGAAGAAGCCTACGGAGAGGGTCTGATGGCTGCTACCACCTGAGCGGGAGGGCACGAGAGCATGTGTCATGCGAAGATCATCCAGAGGGGCTTTTGTGGAAACCCGTCGGAGACG